TTTCGTACTTCATACAGTGTATATTATATAACCAATTATTGTACTGATTGGAATCTATCAAAAGGGCGAAGAACCTATCCTGTTCATCGGATTTTACTTTTGCGAAGTAGCGGTATTCTCCTCTATTGCGCTCATGAGACGAAGAATCTGATTGTTTTTATGATCATGAAGAGGACCTCGAAAAATCTTTCATTACGTCGCATTCTGTCAGAGCCAGCGCTTACTGTTCTACTTTTGTCAGTGACCAGGTTTCGGTCCTATACGCCACAGCCTCCAGCATAGCAATATTGATGAAATGGGCACGATTTTACTGGTTTGAACAGAATGTTTTTTGACATGCAAATCCTCGTGTGTGACTGGCAAATTAGTTGTGGTTTTTTCTGCCTTAGGACGCCAGTCTTTCCTTATGATTTTTATGCGTTTTTTGCAGCAATGCAATGCGAAAAACGCATATTGACGAGAGGTTGTCTGTGTGTTCGTGTGTCTGTGTGCCTGTGTGTGCGTCTGTCACGCACTTTCATCTCCGGACCTATAAAAGCTGCGATGTGTCTGTGTGTGCGCTGGGCCTCTGTATCGGTTTTTCATCTCGAGACCGGCAAAAGCTACGGAGCTGAAACTTTGGGGACTTGTGCGTGTGTGTGTGCGCTGCGCGTCTGTACCGATTTTTATGCGTTTTGTGCTGTGTAACAGCCGCGTTTTTTGCAGCTATGCAATGCAGAAAACGCATATTGACGAGAGGTTGTCTGTGTGTGTGTGTGTGCGTCCGTGTGTGCGTCAGTCACGGTTTTTCATCTCAAGACCTACAAAAGCTACGGGGCTGAAATTTTGGGGACTTAGTCTACATGCACGTACGGGCCCCAATCCCCAAAACTGTCGCCATACCCCGCGTGGTACCCGCGTACGGGCCCCCCAAAGTTTTTATTTTCGAGTAAGTCCATAACTCGGGGATCTGAAAAGCTAGAAAGCTGAAATTTTAAGTGATTGTACCCCGTCCAAGTAGGTAATAATGAGCTCAAATCCAGTCCCCGGGTAAGCGCGGTACCCGCGTACGGGCCCCCCAAAATTTTTCCCGCGCAAATTCATAGCTCGGGGTTCTGAGAAGC